CGAACACAGACAGTCTGAGCTCAGGTTGTCTGTAAAAACAATGTGGGTCCCAACTACCCGATTTCAGAGGGTGCGCTTGTATTTTTAAATAAAAAAAGTCCCAGATGCAAAGAGGACCAGCTTATATCCCCACTAGCTGGGGCTAGTTCCCTCCAGAGCAGACTCTCTCTATTCACATCCCACAGTACTCCTTGGACTCTTGCTGGTGCCCCTATAGACCCAACATGTAATTCTGATTTTTTGTGTATCTTTCAGTTTGAAGTATCTGAAATTATGTGAGACTGTACCGCAGCCTGTGCAAATGGTGCTTTCCCAGCACATATGGTCCATATTCCATGTTTTGGGATGTGGGAATGTTTGAGAGTGCACAGTCAGCTTGAGCAGTTCATAGAATCATAGAATGATTTGGGTTGGAAGGGACCTTAAAAATCATCAAGTTCCAATCCCCCTGCCATGAGCAGGGACACCTTCCACTAGACCAGGTTGCTCAAAGCCTGATCCAACCTGGCCTTAAACACTTCCAGGGAGGGGGCATCCACAGCTTCTCTGGGCAACCTGTTCCAGTGTCTGACCACCCTCACAGGAAAGAATTTCTTCCTAATGTCTAATCTAAACCTACCCTCTTCCAGTTTAGAGCCATTTCCCCTTGTTCTGTCATTAACTGCCCTTATGAAAAGTCCCTCCCCAGCTTTCTTGTAGGCCCCCTTCAGGTACTGGAAGCTGCTATAAGATCTCCCTGGAGCCTTCTCTTCTCCAGGCTGAACAGCCCCAACTCTCTCAGCCTGTCCTCACAGGAGAGGTGCTCCAGCCCTCGGATCATCCTCGTGGCCTCCTCTGGACTTGTTCGAGCTGCTCCATGTCTCTCTTGTGATGGGGGCTCCAGAATTGGACACAGAACTCCAGGTGGGGCCTTACGAGAACAGAGTAGAGGGGGAGAATCACCTCCCTCGACCTGCTGGCCACGCTTCTCTTGATGCAGCCCAGGAAATTCTAGAAAGGGAATGTCTCTGCTGTTTTTCTTATCTCTGCTTATGGTGAACTTACCATTAATTTTTTCTGCACTGTGCCTGTACTCTGGACAGGAAATCCTTTTTCTTAATCCAGTTCTAAAATTTGTGGAACTCATTGCCACCTTCACTTTCCCCATCTCTAATGCCAGGATTCTAACTGTATGAAAAACAGTGTGAGGGAAAGGGAGTTTTATAAAGATAGGAAGTGTTTTTGTAAAATAACAAGTAAATCCATACTTAAACCAGTCAGGATTAAAAATGACAACAAAAAATATGAAAAGGGATGTGAACCCTTATGCTACTGTATACCAACCCACTGTTAACTAATTGAGGATCAAGGAAAAAAATTTCCTTGCCTTAGTTTATTATTCAGTTGAAATCCTCAGTGTGTCTCAACTAAAGCAGAAGGTGAAGATCCCTCCTGCAGTACAGCTCTGATCCAGTGTAATTCCTACAGATGTTGACTGGAGAAAAATGGTACTGAGGTTATTTGTTTAAACAAATACAACCTAAATCTGAATGAGAAAGACTAGCTGTATTTAAGAAGCACTAATCTTTACATGAAAATATAAAGCTCTGTTTTGTTAGCATTAGTGCGTAGGAAATATATAGTTGTACAGTAGGGTCACGCTTCCATAGTTCAGTCTTTTACTTAGGTTAATTTTTATTCTACGTAATAATGACTTAATGCAGTAGCCTAAGTTAACAGTCACTTTTCATTTGAATTTTCTGTGATACTTACATGGTTAAACTTTTATTAGTTTTGGCTGAAGAGATGCTAAAAACCAGTTCTTCCAGAATTCTTTTTCTATGATATCTCATATTTTGCTGGTAGGGGGATTCTTTTGCTGAAGAACTGTAAACTTTGGTAGCAGTCAAAACTGACCTTATTTAAAATGGTAAACTGCCTCTGATCCAAGGCTGTTTTCACCTTGACAAGCAGAACAGCTGAATGTAAGCACAACTGTTTCCTGTATTTATTACTTACTTGGTTATTCAGAAAGAGTATTTGTCAAAGTTTCTCAGCTCTCTTGGCCATTCCAACCTCCTGCAGTGCCTCCAGGTGGTGAAAAACTTTGTGATACTTTGATTACAATTTCTCACCTACATCATGACATGTAATAAAGTGGTACTCCAGGCCATAAACTTTTACTTCTCTGGAAGCCATACAATGCAAAATTGCTTCCACATAGCTCCCACCTTCTGATGTGCAGTGTCTGAACAGCTGTAGTATAGACAGTGGAACTAATATTGTATTTAAATTTTCAGAGAATTCTGCGCAAATTACCCAGTATGTTATCATTTTTGTGTTCATTTTTCTAGAAGTACCTAGAGGTAACAATTGGGATCATGAGCTCCTTAGGTGTGCTATAAAGGTACAAATAAAAAAAAAAGTAACAGTATTATCTTCTAGTATTAGAGGGCTGATTACATATAAGGAGGTAAGATTAAAATCCTATACACAATTTATTAAAAATTACAAATTAAATGTGTGTGGACTAGTCAGTACAGAAAACAGGGTTCCTATATATGGACTACATGCTATTGAAGGCAAGTAGAAACAGCAACAATGTTTTTATCTTAGTTTTTAAGTGGAGTATTTTTCTTTTACACATATGATCTCAAATTTAAAAAAAAAGTAAGATTACTTTCATTTTCCATGATACAGGCATCAGAATCTCAGCTAAGCTTCATCCTCTCTTCATAGGTGCGAAGGAAAAAGCAGCCCCAGAGAACAATTTGTGTGACATATTCTAGACAATAAAATGTTAAAATAAGATCAACTGCCTGGTGTAGGTATTTTTTTGTGTCAGTTGACTCTTAAGGGAAGCCTACAAAGATTAACTCGGGCTTAGATGTCCAATTAGTAGTTGTCTCAATCTTAGAGATGAATCCAACTTTTCTGTATTTAGGTACACAATTTGTCTGACGTTTATTCTAGCAAATAGTGGCCTTTACATCAATTTTATTACATTGTAGCATTAAAACAAAATATCCTCTATTACGGAAGAGGAATGCAGGCTACATCTATTTGGTGTAACTTTGTACTGTTTTTGAGGATGGAATGAGCATGTGAGAAATCAGAACATGCTAAAATGCATAAAGATTGGAATAACTGAGAAATGCAGCGTTGGCTTTAAACAGCGATCATTACTGTGACTTACAGCAGAGCTGCAGCAGGGATTTGTTCTGGTACAGCAGAACTTAGACATGGCAGCTGAAATTCACACCTGTTACAACAGTAAATGGACAAGAAGGGAATGTTCCTATAGAGCTGAATAACTGGGGAGGTGTGAAGGGAGGGATGGATAACTGCTCCCTCCATTATAGTCATGAGGAACTAAAACACAAAGGCATGAAACTTGTCACATGGGTCTACTTTCAAAACCAGGAGGATGGGGTTTTTTGTTTAAGTGTGAACATACATCTCTGCTATACCTTATAAAAAGTCAAATTGGTCAAAGCAAACAGGCAAGTCTCACAAAAGAACCTTTGGATCCAACCACTTTCAGCCCTGCTAGGGAGTCCCTTTTTCCTTAAGTACTTACAAATGTAATTAAAGAGCAGCTAATGCATGTCTCCTGTACTGTGAAATTTTATCATGTAGCTAAATCCTCTATGGTTTTAGACAATTCCAGTTGTTATTGTGCAAGATTGCCTCCTGGTGGTAGTACCAAGAAGCTGCAGAACAACACAATGCGCAGAGAAAAGGCAAAAACCTGCTTTAAAAGCAAGCTGCCTTTTTAAATTCAGATTTAACTAGAGGAAGTGAAAGCACCTTCTTTTTGCTCGGACATCAAGATAAATTGACCTACAGTCGAGGACAAACATTTCAACACTTGAGTGAAGCAGAGTTTTCTAATGATACACTAGCAAGCAGAGCCCGAGAAGACCTTTAGTATGACATTTTGTAAAATAATACCAAGATAAATACTTAGACTAACCTTACGTAAAATTTTCCAGAAGTATTTAAAGACAAGTATTTATGTGTGTCTTTTTACACACATCCAACATTGCTTTATTCACAATTAAAGGAAACTCAAGGAAAAAAGGTTATTTAGTAATAACTTTAGAAAATTAAGTGTTCTTTATGCTAAAAAAGACAGACTTTATATGGTAGTCAACTTCTAGCAAAATCTGTAGGTAACACATGCTGGCAAAATGGTGCTAGACTAACAGAAGAAACAAGAACCTTCCTGGCTTATCCAAGTTGCTTTGGAAAGGAATTACAGTCAAAATGTATGACATGTATGGGATAATTATTTTCTCATTATTTACTAGGACCTGCCATGAAGACTTAACGAATCCACTGGGATTTCTGCAGAGACACAATGTCCCAGTCTAGCCCTTTCTATCAGAAAGCTGATGCCTAAAACTGTAGACTGGAGTAAAGAATCTCCTTTTCCCAAGGAAAAAAAAATGCTAGATGACATAGAATATTGTAACAGCAGAGACATTTAAGCACTACAAAACACTAAAACTATGAAGTAGAGTCAAGCCACATGAAAGCATTTTATACAATAAAGGGTCAATCCTTCCCCCTAGGTAAGCTGGAAAGAGCTGTGAGTCTTCACCGATTACCTTGCTGAGGCAAAAACCTCTTCCTCCCCTGAGCTGCAGCTATTCCAGGTTATATACAAACATAACATCCTCACTGAACAGTGGGCAAGGGTGGGGTTAATAAAAGAAAAACACCTCCCCTCCCCACCCCCCCAACAATGAATGCACACAGAAGTAATCTCAGGTATTTGGGAATGCTGGGTGATTTAGAAAGGTGAGTTATTATGCCTTGGAAGCTGCAATTGAACCAAGTGCTGAAAAACAGTCTTGTTTTTCTGTCAGCTAGTTCAAGTAGAAAATAACAGTCAAATTGAGTTAAGCATGTTTTAGTTACAGCACTCACAGAATTGCCAAGCACCTCACTTCCTTTAATTTTTATTTCCAAAAAAGATTAATAGCAAAGTGTTGATGAACAAGAAGTTATCTTAATCATCTGTCTTTAGGAGGATTAGGATTCCTGCGTCTTCTGTGATACCTAGAAGAAAAAAAGGCTGCAGTGAATGCAAGCTTTGGACAGTCTTTGATTCTCCTGATATTCTGCACCCCAGCGACATATCTGGAGGTTACACAAGTAAGCGAAGCAAGATCCACGAACGTAACCCATCACCACTCATTAGATGTCATCGCTGTTGTTCGTGGAGTTACATAACACTATTCATTTCTATTGCTGCATCTGCTACAAGCACGCAATAATCCCATCAGTTCTACAGCTGAATAGGTACAAAAGCTGCTGTTTACTCTTAATCCTTTGTGTGAAGGTAATTTTATTACACGGTCAGCTTTTCCTTTGGCTAAAACAGAGCCATATTTGCTACAGAACAGAGAGACTTGATGTTTAAAGGAGTTATGCCAGGCTGTATGTTAAATAGTGTAATATTTTGCAAACAAGTTAAAAAACAAACTCTTCATAACAAAAATGATCCCTACTTTCCTCTTAATTGCCTCCCCTAAAACAATGAATATCCTTTTTGATGTTCATTTAAGTGACAGCTACCCTGTGGCCATAGAAAGTTCTACCATTTCATTCTTTTTATCTGCTCCCAAAACACAATAATTAAAAAGTTTTCTGTGGACAAAATTTAAAAAAAATAAAATCTGCCTTTATCAAGTCTCCACAGCTATAAAATTAGCAGCTACTACACCAAAAGGTGTGGTAACATCAACTGGAAAGGAGTAACACTAAGTAGAATGCCATTTGTTTCCAGTGGCATATCTGAATGTATATAGTTCCTCTTTAAGCTCAGTCATGCATATCTGCACCCAGCTTTCTGAGTATGAGCCACACCAAGGTGCACTTCTCACCACTTCAAATGAAAAACCTCTATTTAAGTCTGAGAATCATCCTGTTAAGTTTTTTTTCTGAAAAGTTACTAAGGAATAGATAATGCATGTTCCCACGCTGTATTTGGTTATGTCCATTGAGGGTATTTTACATACTAGATCCTCTTATACTTCAATAAATCACCTGAACCAGAAGCTAACTAGATGGTATGAGAAATTTCTACTCTGTGACATATTTTACTGAAAAATAAGTTGCAAAGGCTGCCAAAGAGCCAGTGTTAAAAAAACCCTTGCGAAATACATTCTTCCGTTTACACAACACTGCATTTAAGATTTTACGTAGTAGCCCACGTGCTAACAGTATCTTGTCTCACGTGGCTTATCCTAGGTTGCATCTGGTCATTACATTAGTCCTGCATTTCCCTATGCCTCCCAAAGGAATAAACACTGAAAAGAAAATACTTACTGTCCCACAGGATACCAGCGATGTTTTGTTGTGTAAAACATTTTGCTGAGCTCTTCAATTGTAGGACCGTTATTGTTCTTCAGCTCTTTTTCATTCAATCTGGATTTCAAAACTTGATCAAGGGTTTCTTCTTTATTATTCACTGGATCTGGCCTTGGTACGGGCTATAAAAACAGTGTATATATATTTGCTTTTTCTCCTTTTTTTGAGAAAAATAAAAAGCCAAGCTACATAGAAGGCATTACAATTTACTCTTAACAGCTGAAGCCAGAGGAACACAGAAGAATGCCTGTAATTGTAAAGGCTGGTTACCGTCCCCTACCCCACCCGTCCTGAACAAAACCACACCACTGTGGAGCAGCCCTCTAGAAACCTCTAATTGCTCCAGGTGCTACAGCTGATTACCCTACCCCTAAATCACCACTGCTATCATCATGATTGCTGACCTCATCCTTACAATTCACTTGCTGAATCAAACTTCAGTTCTGCTAACACAAAAGTACTCATATTATTCCTATTTAGAAATTTATTCACAGTGACGATCACCATCGCTAAAAAAGCTTTCAGATTATTTGTGCCTTGGAGAAGAATGTCACTTCCTAATTGCTTGTGCATCTGCTTAGACCAAGACATTTGTTCTCAACCTGAAACCCAACTATTGGCACCATTACAAATATTTTTCCTCACTTTAGTATTTTACACCTGTTTTTCCTGAGAGACCTGCAACTGATTTAATTTAAAAATGCGAATATGTAACTTGCAGGCAAAGAGTGCTAAAATTTCTCAATAGAGAATTTCCACATTGAGTATTTCAGCAATGTAGCTACCATTTGCAGTACTTTACTAGCACATGAGAACTGGAAACTGAAACAAAAAGTGTACACTAGAAAAGTTTATCTAGACTTACTTTGGCAGTGTAAAGAATACATTGCAAGTACTTCTGAAAGATAAAAAATTAATATTTAATTTTTTTTGTGGAGTTTATGACCCCAGAGTGCTGAACAGAATTTAAAGCATGAGCTGAAGAAAAGAGCAGCAGCACTGCTGTATAGCCTCTTGCCCAGACTGCTGCATCTGGACACAGCTGGACACGTGAACTATAACCTGCATTCAAAACATCCCCTCTGAGGAGTACACTCAAGAGTCAGGCACTGCTTTTCTCTGTAGTTCACAAGTATTTGAATGCCTCATTTAATTCTATTTGGGTTACTATACCCTGTGATATCTGAGCATTTCTCACTCTGCAACTTTCCCTCAATTCAGCTAAGAATAAGGTCCTCCTCATGGCAGCAGCTATATTAACCATTCACTTACTTCACAGACATGCTGATCACATAATAAAAAGTATCTCAATATTTTAAATTTTAAAAAGATGCCCTAAAGACTCACAAACTATTTATGCCTTTACATGAGCAAGGACGTTTGGACATACTTTTGTATGCTCGTATGGAATCTCAAGCGAAGGGTGGTAGCAGACAATTGTCTTCAAATCCGATGTCACTGCAAGTTCCACTTTGCTATAAAAATAAAAATTTACATTCTTAAATACATCTCTTAAAATTTTCAAAAATGGTGAACAACTGAACAGCCTAAGTCCCAAAGAAAACCAGATGTGACCCTGCATTTATAAATTCTTAAGAATCTTCTTTAAATAAACCCTTACAAAATAAGGGTCACAAATACTTGATGTGAAGTCCCTCTTTTTTTTTTCCCCCGCCCCAGCCATCTTCATGTTTCTTTTTGAATGGAGAGGGAACAAAGGGCTAAAATCAAGCATTAAAGATATCTGGAAATATGGGTTGGAAGAAAATCTTTAACCCTTTGAATAATTACATATAAAACTGTAGCAACAGATGGGTTTAATGATCATCAATGATACATAGGACATCTTGCCTCTATAGGAAGTATGGCACCTACAAAAGAAGGAATAGAAAACAAAGCTCTGTTTGGGGTTCCAGCTTTTATATTTGGTAAAAGATGATGAGCATGATGAACAACAAGTCCTACTGAGAGATTCCTTGGGGGAGTATGACTCTCTTCTCACCTTCTTTCCTTACTAACTTCCATAACATGTTAGCTCCCTAAACCTTGTATGACACAGGTGCTGCATTTCTCACTATATTTGTATTATCTTTTCTGGTTTCTACTCATGTTTTTCATGTAGCAACACAAAAACACCTGGACTTTGTCTTTACAACAAGCATCAATGAAAATGACCGCTCTTAGCTACTTTTGCTCCTCCACAAGCAACACTGCAGGGGTGCTGGGGTCACCACCACGTTTAGAATGAATCCTACATGATTTCTCATTATGCTTATTTTTTAAAATACTAACTTCACAATCATTATGATTTGAAACGGTACTTTAGTTAAAATTATTACATATATTCAAAACTGGCAGAAGATGTATTTGATACCATTATATGACAACTTCATGACAGAGACAGTAGCCCTGGAATAAACGTTACATGAAAAGGCCACACATCAAAGCACATTTAAGTACCAATTGTAGTCTTCAGGGAGAATTGAATATGTAGATTTATGGCAAGCATGATACACAGCTCCATCTGCAGAAAAAAACACACATAAAGAACACCAATGTAAAAATCAGAGTTGTGCCAAATTAAAGAATGTTCATATTTTCATTCCATTCTAAGTCTTAATTTGGGATTATAATCATATTCAGTTTTAGATTAACAAAACCCAAATACTGTCTAAATAGAAGTTCAACTTTACTACACAGATTTCTAGTGCAATAAAAAAATATAGTATCTAGGTAGCCATGGCCTACATTTACCTTTCCAATGGTATTGTTTTCCTAAGAAAAAAATCACAGTATGAACAAAATACCTGTAGATTTCACCATTAGAGCATATTCTTTGTATATGCAAGGAACAGTACCTTATGACTCACAGGGAAGATCACAATTTCATTCAGAGCAATATTTGTTCTAAAAAGTAAATTTGTTAAAATTAATTAATAAAAACTAATTTGTTGTTTAAAACTTCACTGGTGACTGCTATATGCTATACAAAACTGTAATGTCTTGGCTGCTGTAACACTACAGAACTTTACCCTGTTCCCCAGGTTCCTGTTGCTCCAAGGAAAGCAAACACAAGAATTACAAGTGATAAAGGCGGCCAGCAGCATCCAGAACTGTACTAAGTGAAGTGAACTGAGGGGAGGGATTATCTCCCTCTGCTCAGCACCTGCTAGACCACATCCAAATACTATGGCCAGTTTGGGGCCCTTTAATAAAAGATAATCTTGAACAGGTTCAGCAAAGGCCTACCAAGATGGTCAGGGGCTGCAGCATCTGCACTGTAGTGAGAGGCTGAGGGACTGGAGCTGGCTCAGCCTGGGGCAGAGACAGTTTTGGGGAGACCTGTCAGCAGCCCCCAGTGACCATGTAAGAGGATGTGGGTTATTGAGGAGATGGAGCCAGTCTGTTCACAGCAGTGCATGGTGGGAGGACATGAAACAACACCACTAAGTTGAAACAACATGCTCTGACTGGATACGTAGAGAAACATTTTCCTCAGGAGGACAGCCAACCGGTGGGACTGGGGTCCAGGCATCTCCAGTCTCTGTCCTTGGAGATTTCAAAGACTCAACTGGCCAAAGCCCTGAGCGGCCTGGTGTGATTGCAGAGCTGAGCCTGCTTTGGGCAGGAAGTTGGACCAGACCACTCGAAGTCCCTTCCAACTGACTTTTCCCACAATTCCATTCCCATTTTTTCAAAGAATCATTTAGGTTGGAAAAGACCTTTAGGATCAAGTCCAACCGTAAACCTAACGCAAGGTGTTAGATAGTAACAGTCCCTTATATAGGAACCAGGCTGTAGGCATCTTGCCTTCCGCAGTCACGGAGGTGTGCGCGCCTGAGACGGGCCTGGGAGGCGCCTGCCGCTGACTCTGACTGGCAAAGCCCTTCCTGTACTGCCAGAACCTGACACAAATCCACAGGTAAGTTTCCGAGTCCAGTAAAGCTTCTTCTACCACCGCGCTTTAAGAACTGAATTACAACTGCAAGAACTAAGCCCTAGCCTGTTCTGAGCCTTCTGTTTTCAAATAAATCGGGGAAAAAAAAGTTTCAACTTTTTTCTGACATGTTATTTTATTTAGACCATCTTTAGATTTAATACAAATTGGCTATTCATAATGGAAGGAGTGAGCATTTAGTGTGTGAAAACTGGGAAAGCCAAAAGAACCAAGAAGAAACTTTGGTGTAGCTATTTTCCTCTCAGAAATATTTTAGACATACAATTATAAAATTTAAATTTAGATATAGCTAATATATTTAAATATATATTTTAGATACAAAATTCTTAAATTTAGAATTTCTCTTAGCACTTCCATGCTTGATTTAATAATTTAACCATTCTTAGTTATTAAGAAGTTGAGTTCTGGTAAAATATTACTGCAAAAAGTTCATATTTCTTCCTCAGATTTCTTTATCCTCCTTGCCCACTAACCTCTAAAATGTAGTATGTCCATTATATTTTCTCAACTCCTGTCTCTTCTACCACCTTTACTATCTCCCCTACATCCTTCTATTGACATTTAAAACATGGACAAAAATATAAGAAATAATACTGCTTGTGATCACTTGTTCCCCATTTATCCTAAGTAATGAGATTTTGCCATAGCCTTTTCCCACACTGTTTGTAAGTCTGAAAAAAATATGCCCCTGTCCCTGAAAGTGTTCAAGGCCAAGTTGGATGGGCTTTGAGCAACCTGATGGAGTGGAAGGTGTCCTTGCCCCTGGCAGGGGGCTTGGAACTAGATGATCTTTAAGGTCCTTTCCAACCCAAACCATTCTATGATTCTAAATCTTCAAATATAATGAGTAGTAAGAGCGGTGGTATTTACAAGCTAATTAATAAATTAGAGGAGTGTCACACATGGACCACGGATGCTTTAAAAGAAAAAAAACACAAATCAAGATATCCTTTAATTATTAGCAGAGAACACAGAATACCAGACTTGATTCTATTCAAAGAAAAATTCCCTTCTATGCTTCCATTACTTTAAATAGTCTAGGAAAGAGGATCTGAAAGAACAAATTGTAATACAGAATTCGTACAATTTCATCAGTACTTACTCTGCAGCGGGGCCTACTTACAGGTTGTTACTGAACGCATCCAAAAGGAGCTGGACCGTGCAGTTCTAAGCAATATTGCCATGCTGATGCAGAGAGGAAACCAGTCCTGGGCAAGATGGAACTCAAAAGGACACTGTATCCTTTTTTTCTGCACAACACCCTCTGAAAGAAACCAGTTTCGTAACTGTTCAGGGTACAAAAGACTGACAATTTCTTGAATATCTTAAGGATAAATACAATTTGTACAGTGTATTCCTTATTATGTGTCAGCTGTTTAGAAGTCCTTATTATTTAAGATACTGACACTTGCTTCCTTAATAGTCAAATGTGGTACAAGAGTTTATTTACTGAAAGGTACTCTTTGAAGGAACCTCATTAACTTTAATGAAAGTTTCCAAGCTTGGGTCTCTCAGTTTTTCTACGGGTATACGCTCACCCAAGTTCTGCATCTTTCCTTCTGCACACTCCACAGAATTGTTCCCTATACACACTTTTCTTGTTCATGATGTAAATATCATTGCCCAGGATAAAAAAGAGCTACTTATAAATAACACTTGCTGCAGTTCACAGACTGTCTAGATGCAGTTGTTTTCATCCATCTCAAAAGCAATACACCTAAAAGCTATGAAACACCATTTAGAACACCTTAAATATTATCCTAGATTTCACAGAAGCAGAAAGACACATATAAACATCTTAGGTTTTTGGCATCTACAGAAAAAATAAGTTTGCTTCGGAGAAATTTATGAGGATGTTTAAAAAAAACATAACTGGAGACAGCTTATAGACATACTCACAAAAACGAAAGAAACAAGATGTCTTTCAAACTACTTTGTACTTAGCACTTGTGAGGAACTGCACTACAGACTTGTCTCAAAGATTGTTTGCAAGGCCGGTCACAAGACCACCGGGTTCTGGGAACCCCGCTGTGTGAAGGCGCCCTGCCCGCAGGGGTGTTCTGCCCGGACATGTCCCTGCCCAAGTGCTGGGGGGGCACGAAGAGACATGCCATTGCTATGGAAACTATAGCCCTCGAAGGGGTATTTAAGGAGGACCGGCATGGGCAAACAGGACAGGAGAGAAAGACGGGAGAGAGACAGAGAGGACGACGGTCTGACCCCACCACGTCTCATCACCGCCGGAACAAGCAACTGAGACCTCCTCGCCCACCCCTCACCGTTGCCTTGCCGCTGGACCCGTGGTGGTGACTATTCTTGCTGCCCTATCCCGACTCCTTGCTTGATTCCCATCTTTCGTTCCATCCTGTCCTATCGCTATCCTCTTTATTACTCTTCTTTTTGTAATAAAAGGCGTCCTGGGAGTGCAGCACGTGACCTCGTTTGTGTCTTAATCTCGCTCTTGGGATCATATCGAAACCTTTCCCAACATCGGATCGGGATATTTAAATGATCCCGACATCGGATCGGGACAGCGCCGAAGAACACCAAGGGAAGCGTATGCTTTACAGTTTCTGTGAGTAATTAGTACTCGTCTCCGTTACCTGTGACAAGTGCGGCTGCAGTTAGAGAACACGAAGGCAGCACGGACAGAGCTGCCCAGAACCTGCCTTTGAAAGCCCATTAACGAAACAGGCGAGAAGAACACTGCGGGTCCGGGCCCTCGCCCAGGGCTCGGTCCAAACCCCGGCCCGTGCTGGGCCCCCCCGCCAGGACC